GTGTTAATTCATAGTTTTGATGCCTTCAGTGTGAATCTACAATGTCAATAGTCATGAAAAGAAAGGAAACTCATTGAATGAGAAGGTGTGTACAAACTTCTGGTCTGTACTGTATGTTGCGGCCTGTAGTGTGAAATGTCATTTGTCTGTGTGTTCTCTGCAGCTTAAGCTTCTGGCACGAGACACTGAAGGCAGTGAATGCAGGAGGTGCAGCAGTTATGTGTTGTTATATAACCTGTAATAGACAAGTGTCAGTTTATCAAAGACTTAACCAATTAAAGATTAATGAAGTATTTGAATCTATCCATCGATTTTCTTTCATTTATCTGGTTCCAAGTCACATATTACTAAATATTGTTATTTACAGCTGGGAAGTGCAGACAAAGATGTGCCATGTCAACAAACTATTAAAATAGTTATCTATTTAAAAAAAAAAAAATGCTGTGATTTCTGGTTTTTCCACATTTTTTGACTGGTGCAACTGTTCAAAGAGATATTACTCATCATACATTTGTGACTTTAAAACATCTTTAAAAAGGCTTCAATTTGGTTAACTCTGCAGGAATCCTGTAATAATTTTTCTCCTGTGTTGTGTTTGTCAGCTTCGAGCTTGCACCAATCGGACCACTAAAGGGGAAACCATGCGGCCATCCAGTCGGGTTCCCCTCATGGTGCTTTGTGACGTCCATCGATCACACATGGTGAAACATCACTGCTGTCCTGGTTGTGGATACTTCTGCATAGCAGTAAGTCTTTAAACCACTACCTGTCTTTGTTTATTTATTTATTTATTTATTTATTTTAGAAATAATCAACTATGTCTGTATGATGTTAGTCAGATATCAAACTGGGGCTTTTTTTTCCTGCTCAGTAATGTTTGTTTTTTTTCCCTGGTGATTTTGGCCTTAACTACATAAATACAACTTAAAAAGAATCCCTTAGTTCTCTTTTTTTCCTATGTATTCTACTTACTTCTTCTCCTTGATGTCTTCCGTTCTTCTTTCTCCTAGTTGATATTGTACTTTCTTCCTCTCTTTGATTTCTTTTATTTTTCAGCCTCAATATCATCCTGATTTTGTTCTCCTCCCTAACATCTCACTTTATTCTCCTCTTTCAGGGCACATTTCTGGAGTGCTGCCCAGATCAGCGCATCGCTCACCGTTTTCACCGGGGTTGTGTGACGGTGTTGGGAGGCGGGCGCAGCAGAGCAAATGGTGGCGGTCTGCTTTTCTGCCCCCACTGTGGAGAAGACGCCTCCGAGGCCCAGGAGGTCACCATCCCCTCCTTCAGCTCGGCCACAGCCTCGGCAACCACAGTGGTCACCATGTCGGCCTCCTCCACCACCACCCCGTCTCTGCCGCCATCTGTCCCTTCAGCGCCCTCCCTCACCGCATCCACAGGAGGGATGAAGGATGGGAAGATGCCCGAAAGACCTGTCAGGTAAAATTGGATGGCATGTTAGAGGATTGTTGCCTGATTTCAGAATCATTTAGCATTTATTTATTTGCACTTTGCCCTCCTTCATCCCCTCCCCAGCGCTCGTATGCGTAGCCATGGTTTGATAAAACTGGCAGTGGAGCAGCAGCAGCCTCCACAGTCGGTAGCTTCAGCAGCGACGGCAGCCACTGTTCCCCCGGCAGAAGAGGGAGTGGACAGCGTGGGGCCATCGCTCTGTATGCCAAATGGGAAACCCATCAGCCCCAGTGCACTTCCACCTGGTCCCAGCAGGGCAGCGCTGCAGAAAGCCATCCTCACACAAGACACAGAAAGGTTAGAGAGTGGATTTAGATTTTCAATGGACAGAATCAAATCAAATTTATCAGACAGTTATCAGACAGGCAGCAACAAAACTGCAGTCGTGGACAAAAGTTTACATACACTTATATGTATATCATGGTAGTAGTGAGGTTCCGATGATTCCTATAACTCAATTTTCTATGATGGACTTTAATCAGTCCATCATAGAAAATTGAGTGTATTGCTGTTTTGACAAAGACACACATGCTTTAATCAGCACGTGTGTCTTTGTCACAAAAAACAGTAATACATTTTGATTCTTTATAGAGTTATCATAGAACTTTTGGAAATGTGACAAGATCTGCTGGGTCAAATATATACATAAAGCAACTTGAATTATCAATTTTGGTGATATACAAAGTTGTGTTAATCACATTTTCTTAGTGGTATGACCTCTTACTTTCTAATGGGTGGTTACAACTCTACTATGTGCAAAACATCAAGACAGGTTAAAACTCGTAAATTCTATTTATATAGCACAATAAAACAAAAAAACACAACAGGCCAAACAAGATATCAAACTGTGAGATAAATTTGTAAAATGAAAAAAAATCTGAAGACCTTTAAGAGCAGCCTAAACACATTAAAACCACATACATATCAATAGAGAAAGAACATTTATTTGAAAGAGGAGGGCTGATAGTAGACTAGATGCAATAAAAGAAATATTTCCTAAACTATGATGCTCTCTGTCTTTTATGCAGTGTGAAGTCTAATTTTTTTCCTTAACAAATTATTTCAAGCTTTTTCAGGGCTAGCAGCTCAGCTTTAGAAACACCCCATCGTCAGCAGCTAATTGACAAAAACAAATCCCATTTAGAAGATCTTAACCGTCTTTAGAAAATCTGCTGAACTGTTGTGTTGCAAACAGAATGAGTCTGAAGCCACAGCCAAATTACATGTTGCAGAAAATGCAAGCAAAAACATTTCCATCTTTGTTTGCTCAAGCTCCTCCATAAGAAATTAAATAGTTTTCTAAGGAAAACAGGATCTCGGCCTGAATTGGCAATTGCTGTTTTTGATTCACCAGGAGGAAGAAACTGAGGTTCCACCCTCGCCAGCTCTACCCCGCTGCCAAGCAAGGAGAGGTGCAGAGAGTTCTGCTCATGCTCAGTGAGTGGCAACGAATGCTTTGGATTGTACTTTCATGTATATTTAGACAAAATGAGTTTTGTTCTTTTTGTAATACAAGTAGTTGGGATGATGAAGCTTATTTAACAGTCACTGTCTGGGCTTGATTTGTCATAAAAACTAAATATTCTTATGAGAAATGCTGACCATTTGCATGATTTTTGCCAATAGATTGCTGTAAATCAGAGTTCTTTATTAAGTCAGTGTGTGTGTGTGTGTCCCAGTGGAGGGCATAGATCCAACATATCAGCCCGACTCCCAGAACCGGCGCTCTGCTCTTCATGCTGCAGCTCAGAGAGGTCTACTGGAAGTCTGCTACATGCTGGTCCAGGTGAGACATTTAAAATGTGATTGGCATCTGTCTTTGTGGTTTGTAGGCATGTCATACAGATGTTTGTTTAGTCCAAAACACAAGGATATTCAGTTTACTGCCATAAATTTCAAGCTGGAAAAGTGAAAAGCTGTTAACAGTGGATGTTATTTAGTTTTGACAATGATTATCTAGTTATCAAATTATTTACCATGACCGTCTAATGGAGTTATCCTTTCAGATGGACATATCTGAGTGAAAACTCAGCATAAAGAGAAGCAGCTGTGCTCTGTAATGTATGTTATTAAAAGCTCTTGCAGTCTTTTTCCTTCATTTAAACACCATCTTTGATTGCACACCGACAGGCTGGTGCTCAAGTGGATGCCCAGGACAAAGACCTGAGGACTCCTTTGCTGGAAGCCATCATCAATAATCACATAGAGGTGGCTCGCTACCTGATTCAGAATGGTGCCTGCGTGTATCATATTGTAAGTGCCTCTCTCTCCACAAAAATCTCCAAAAAAAGTGAACTCAAATGTATTTGGTTGATGTGAATTTCACTTTTGTTGTTCATGTCATTGCTGGTCAAGGAGGAGGATGGATATACTGGCCTCCACCACGCAGCCAAGCTGGGAAACCTAGAAATCGTCAGCATGCTTCTGGAGACGGGGCAGGTTGATGTGAACGCACAGGTAAAGAAAACTGCCGTTGGTTACTTCCTATTAGATAAAAGTTCCAACTGTGTGAATCCTCTTTTTCTGACAAGGAATCAAGTGATAAGGAAAAGACCTGATCACATGTTTTTTATTCTAATGTGGAACAATAGTCACAAAATTCACTCCCGTAACTTTTTTTTGTGTATCGAAACATTTTGGAATATATCTTGTGCAACACAATCATTCATTAGGCAGTTAGACAAGAAAGATGTCTTCATTGAAGCCTGTGATTCTACAAACCGCACAGAAAATCACAATGACGGAACCTATAAAAAGTTTTCACCCCCCATGCAAGTTTTCCCCCTTTGTTGCTTTTCAACTAAATTTTATTTTATTTTTTTCTGCAAACCATTTCTGTCTAGTTTTGGCTGTATGCTTCAGGTCATTGCTGGAAAACAAATATTCTCTCAAGCAGTTTTCTTGTAGACTGCATTACGTTTTCCCTATACTTTGCTGCACTCATATTGTCTTCTCCCTTTACAAACACTTCAGGGCCTGCTGCCAAGAAGCATCCCCACTTCATGATGCTACCACCACGCTTCACAGTTAAAAAAGTGTGTTTGTGGTGATGTTTAGAATTAGAATAAAACTTTATTAATCCCTTCGGTACAAGACCTCAGGGAAATTGCTAAAATTGATTTGGTATCAACCAAACTTAATGTCTAGTCTGTTGGCCAAAAAGCAAAATTTTAGTTTTATCAGATCCAAGACATTCTTCCAGTTGACTTCAGACTATCTCCCATGCCTTCTGGTGAACTCTAGTTGAGATTCAGTATGAGCCATCCGTCCATTATCTGTACACTGCTTAATCCTCACAGGGTCGCGGGGGGGCTGGAGCCTATCCCAGCTGACTTAGGGCGAAAGGCAGGGGACACCCTGGACAGGTCGCCAGTCTATCGCAGGGCCACACTTAGAGACAGACAACCAAGCACACTCACATTCACACCTACGGACAGTTTAGAATTACCAGTTAACCTCAACATATTTTTGGACTGTGTGGGAGGAAGCCGGAGAACCCACGCTGCACGGGGAGAACATGCAAACTCCACGCAGAAAGATTCCGGTGCCCCCACCGGGACGCAAACCGGCAACCTTCTTGCTGTGAGGCAACAGTGCTACCAACTGCGCCACCCTGCAGCCCCCAGTATGAGCCAATAAATGTGAAAACTTCTCACAAGGGAAATAATGTTTTTAGGCATTTTAGCTGAGGTTAAGGACCTCCTATGTACCATCAAAGTACCATTCTCCAATATCCATGCTGCAGTTGCATAATTTAAGCAAAGTGCATCATATCTGTCTTAAGAAGAACACATGGACAGTGTAATCTAATTTGAATCTTCTTCTTGGTTCTGTTTAGGACAGTGGTGGCTGGACACCGATAATCTGGGCTGCAGAGCACAAACACGTTGATGTGATTAAATCGCTGCTGAACAGAGGAGCTGACGTCAGCATCAACGATAAGGTAACTAGTGAACACGTGCTACTGGCTGAATGTCTGGCAGCTCCCCCGAGCGAACCTGCTAATATCTACTAACTAAGCTGCACTAAAAGACCTTGCCTTCTTCTATAGCTGTAAATATATTCAGTCTTTGTCTCAGACTGAATAGCTATTTCATTTTCACTGAGTCACTGTATACTTGTCATTCAGAGCTCTAGAACTGTCAAATGCTTAACTTCCCACTCCAATTTAAGTCGTGATCATGAAATACTTTTTGTTTCGATAGGAAAAACAACACCTCAACTGTATTTGCTGAAGGGCTGCAACCAGGAATTATTTTCATTGTCACTTAATCTACCAAATATATTCTTGCCTGATCATTTGGTCTGTATTATTTCCACTTTCCAGAACACATCTGACACCTTAAAATGCCTTGTTTTGTTTAATCAACAGCACAAAAAACATTTCACGGTGGGATAAAACAAACAGAAAATACAGTTGTGTTAAAAAAAATAGCAGTGTTTTTTATAATGGGAGTAAAGTTCAAAATCCTTATAATATTTTTATTTCCATTCATTGGGAACACTGCACATTATATTTTAAATCAAAACATGAAGAAAAATGTATCAATATTTTAATTATTTTACAGAAAATAAAGGAAAAAATTATTTTGGGCTGTTCAAAAAAAAAAATAGCAGTGTCTGCATTTTTCATTACAAACTCAAAAATTTACTCAATAAACTGAAAAAAATGTTAAGATTTAGCATTCCTGTCAATCACTAAACTAATATTTAGTTGTATAACCACTGTTTTTGAGAACTGCTTGACATCTGTGCTGGATGGAGTCGACCAACTTCTGGCACCTGTGAACAGGTGTTCCAGCCCAGGATGATTTGACAGCCTTCCACAGTTCCTCTGCTTGGTTTTGCCTCAGACACAGTATTTTTGATGTCACCCCACAAGTATTCGATTGGATTACGGTCCGGGGATTGGGCTGGCCACCCCATAATCTTAATTTTGTTGGTCTGGAACCAAGATGCTGCTCGCTTACTTTTGTCTTTGAGGTCACTCGCTTGTTGAAACACCCATTTCAAGGACATTTCCTCTTCAGCATAAGGCAGCATCACCTCTTCAAGTATTTTGATAAAAGCAAATTGATCCATGATCCCTGGTATGCGATAAATAAGCCCGACACCATAGTAAGAGAAACAGCCCCATGTCATGATGCTTGCACCACCATGCTTCACGGTCTTCACAGTGTACTGTGGCTTGGATTCAGTGTTTGGGGTTCGTCTGACAAACTGTCTGCAGCCCTTGGACCCAGGTTTAATTATTCTGTGTGAAAGGAATTGGCCTCCTTGACATTGGGATTTTAGATGAAGAAAGCATGTTAAAGGTCCCATATCATACCACTTTTTAAACAAGTTAATGTAAGTCTCATTTGCCCGTATATTTAAAGTGTCAGCTCAAAATACTGCACAGTTCATTCAACCATGCCTGTAACATTCCTGGTTTTAGCTTTGTTCCAAACCGGTCGTTTCAGTGTCAGTAGCTTTAAATCCAGCTGAGCTAAACTTTTTCATTGAAAGGCTGAGAGAAGCCCAGAGAAGGAGGAGGCTGGAAACCTGAACAACTCATTTAGAGATGCACTTTCTGATCCAGCAGGAAAGGAAATAAACAAGGGAATGGAGTTTTGTCATATTTTGCGAATCTCTAGACTCAGTAAAAACAATTGGATGTTGCATAATACAGTCACAAAATGGTATTAGAAATTTTAAATGAGTAGAATCCACATGTTTTGGAGTTAAGTGGCAACAGAAACAAAATAAATGCAGTTGCATAAAAATATTTCAGGTTATTACTTTAAGCAGTCCCGTCTCTCCCATCAGGAGCTGAATGTGTGTCTCCACTGGGCGGCGTATGCAGGCAACGTGGATATAGCAGAGCTGGTGTTGAACGCCGGCTGTTCCCTCGCCTCAGTTAATGTGCATGGAGACACGCCGCTCCACATTGCTGCCAGAGAGGGCTACTTGGACTGTGTTACGTGAGTTAATGTCAATCACAAGCTACAGCTTCATTTAATTTACAGTTCCCAATGCTTCAAAACCAACATATTTAAGAAAATCACTTGGCTGTTTTGTGGGCTGTTTTTTTTCCTCAGGTTGTTCCTGTCTAGAGGTGCAGATATAGACATCATGAACAGGGAGGGCGACACTCCTCTCACCTTAGCGCGAGCAGACACGCCAGTGTGGGTTTCCCTTCAGATCAACAGGAAGCTTCGAAGAGGGATAACCAATCGCATGCTAAGGACAGAAAGAATCATCTGCAGGTAGCTTTGGTGGCATTTTAACTGTAGTTTTTTTCCTCTGCTGATTTTCTTCCTGATGTAACTCCATGCTTTGTGTTTCAGTGACATTGCGCAGGGATACGAGAACGTACCGATCCCCTGCGTGAATGCAGTGGATGATGAGGGTTGTCCTTCAGACTACAAATATGTTTCAGAAAACTGCGAAACTTCAGCAATGAACATAGACCGTAACATCACACATTTACAGGTAATTTCATTTCCACTTCCTTTTTAACTTGCTTGTAACACAATTGAGCTTTTATTTGAAAGAAACATAACATTCTTTTCATTTTTTTCTTTTTGTCTTTAGCATTGTAGCTGCACTGATGACTGCTCCTCTAGTAACTGCCTCTGTGGACAGCTCAGCATCCGCTGCTGGTATGACAAGGTAAAAATAGTTATAAAAGTCCCATCACAAGATACTGTCAGAAAACCTGCAGGGATCAGTAGCATCAATAACCAGAATTTATTGTAAACTGAAAAGATGAAGTTAATCCCAACTTGTTTGATTTTTTCTGTTGCCAGGATCAGCGGCTGCTACAGGAGTTCAATAAAATCGAACCTCCGCTTATATTTGAATGTAACATGGCGTGTTCTTGTTATCGAACATGCAAAAACAGGGTGGTCCAGGCAGGTATTAAGTAAGTATGACACATTTGATGTACTGTATCATAGCTGTGTACCGGGGCAGGCTACAGCTGTGTAATCTTACTGGCAAACAGGAATTATAACCTTTAGAATCACCCGTTGAAATGTTTGTCCTGAGAGAAAACTCCTTCTCATCTTAAATCCTAAATAACTGATTAACATCCATTTTCTAAAACTTGCTGAGGCCAGCAATGACAAAATGCTAATTATTAATCAATCTGCAGCTGAGTTAGTCACACGTGATTAACAGTACTACAGACAGAGGGAGCCAAACAAACAGTGTATAAAAGCTGTTTTTTGCCACCTGATGAGCTTAGTTTTATAATTGGCCAATGCTCCTGGCTGCTTCATGCTTAATTATTTCCTTCTTTCTCCTCAGAGTTCGTCTACAGCTCTACAGGACAGAGAAGATGGGCTGGGGGGTTCGAGCTCTGCAGGATATTCCTCAGGGCAGCTTCATCTGCGAGTATGATGAACCCATCTGCCGTCACGTCAGACTGCTTTAATGTGGAAAGTAAGACGTTAAAAACAACCGTTCCTTCCTGTTTGTACGCAGATACGTCGGTGAGTTGATCTCGGATGCAGAAGCAGATGTTAGAGAAGACGACTCCTACCTGTTTGACCTGGACAACAAGGTGAAACTCTTAAAAACGGGCTTGTGTGCTTTATGTAATTTGCAAAAAAGGGGCAAATGTCATGGAAAAAAGAGAAGGAGACTAATGGTATATGGCACGCTGCCTATTTATCCAATGATGAATAAAGTATGAATCAAGTGACTGTTGACAGGTCATTTGCTGGGGCATTTTGGACACACAATGTCTTATCTTGACAGTTCTAATCACTTTTAACATTCATAAATCAATCACCTCTTTTTGAGATGAGAACAGTCTTTTCTCATTCTGTGTCACGGACTCAGGTTTTGTTGGAAATCATTACTGAAGTGTGTTTGTATCATTTTGTTGTCTGATTTGAGATCTCAACCACATGCAGAGTCAAATACTTCTTAACATTTTTAATCATTAAAATGGCCAAAAGCAATCTTAAGAAATAAAAGACCCAAAAAGATGCACCAAAAGACCAAAGATGAAATGTCAGTTATCCTAGAGAGGCACATTGTGCCAAATATTATTACCGCAATCCACTGATTAGTTTTTGACACATTTCAGTCATCCATAGAGCTACTACAATAGCTAAAAACAAACTTCAAATCGCATACGATCAATAAATCAAGAAAAGGCAGAACAAGCAAAACATAAAGATCCTTAAACAAGTCAACTCGTTTCACACAAAAGGTAAATGGTAAAACTTGCACAATACATCTGAAAATGCTCCATGTGGCATCTTTATCTTGTAATGTCACACAGAAGGAGCTGTTCATTGTGTGCTTTATCTGAGTAGTTTCTTGTATTTTCTGTGAAGGATGGTGAGGTGTATTGTATCGACGCCCGTTACTACGGCAACATCAGCCGCTTCATCAACCACCTGTGTGACCCAAACCTGATCCCAGTTCGCGTGTTCATGCTGCATCAGGACCTGCGTTTCCCTCGCATCGCCTTCTTCAGCTCCAGAGACATCCTCAGTGGGCAAGAGCTCGGGTGAGACAGTTATGAGCAGCTGCTTAAAGCTGATTACCTTTCTTTCATTTTCATTTGTAATGTCTCAATCATCTAATCCAGTGTAATATTTGGTATATGTTGCACTGCTCGTGACTCAGCTTGCCTCATTTCCGTCTTCAGGTTTGACTATGGAGACCGGTTTTGGGACATTAAGAGCAAGTATTTCACCTGTCAGTGTGGATCAGAAAAGTGCAAGCATTCGGCTGAGGCCATCGCCCTGGAACAGAGCAGGCTGGCTCGGCTGGAGGCTTGCCCAGAATCGGGAGCGGACTGCGGGATGACCATGATAGGAAACTCTTAAAACACACACCCACGGGGCCTTTGGATGAACCTTTTCAGTTTTACATGTGCACACTAGCAAATACACCATTAAGAGGTTTATCATTCAGCTTGTGATGTATGGTGCTGTTTTTTTTTCTACTTGAAATGTTATTTTCTTTTTTCAAAACTGCCAAAATCAGCCAATTTGTCACTTTATCATTTCCACTATAGTGCAGGACATGGGCCTTAACATTTTTCAAATGTTGCTGTTTTGGGGGAAAAACAGGAGGTCTTATAATTCACTATATGCAGTAATTTTACTGTATCTCACAATGTACTCGCGCCTTGACACACATACCTTGTGCATTAGGAGTCTGTCTTCAATGCCATCATATACCAGTCATACATTCTATATATACACAGACATTTTTCCGTTGTGCCAACAAACTCAGCGCATTTTGACATAGGACGGTAATGGGTAAGACCTTCACCCACGCTGGACTTGATGAGGACCTGAGGGATAGTGTTGTTTTTGGATGATTGTTTTAGCTGTACTTTCTTTATTTTTTATACATATCTTTTTCTCTGTCCTACGTAGTGTAATAAAATAACTCATGAGTTGATCTTTGGTCTCTGACTTTAATTATTTTGTTGAAATGTGACCTACAGTATGTGATAAATCTTGTTTTGTGGAGGACATGAACGCAACTCTTCAGCAGCCAAATGCTTTGAGGGGCATTAAAAGAAATATACAGCTATGTAATAACTCTTTGTATGTGTTCAGCATATGGTTTGTCAGCTTTGTGTGGTTTCGAGGCTGCTGTAATTAAACCTGTTGTCTGCTGCTGTTGTGTTATCAGCAGGAGACATGTAGGCCACAATGCAAAGCAAGAGAGATGGGGCAAAGCACAGTCAAAGATACAGCTAAAATGAAGGTGTCTCACTCTGCCAATAGTTGCATACATCTTTGACTAAAACTGTCCAAGTAGGTAATTTATTATTTTGTTTTAATCATTTATGCACGTTTTAGAAGACTGAAGATTCACATTAGTTCACCATTACCATTCCAACCACTTTTTAAAAAAAAAATTTTAACAACAGGACTACTACTGCTTTTAGGGAAAATGATGTTGCAAAAGCCATTGTGAAATAGTCAAACACTTGACTTTGTCTTGTGTTTATATTAGTTCTTTGTTTGTGATAACTTAATTAAGCAACCTTTTTTCCTATGGATATGCATGCAATAGCAAGACACATGAGATTTTAACACCTGAATCATTTCACTTTACATTGCAATATTGCAGATGTACACAGTATTGATAAAGTAATTTCCAGTTGCAAATTACCATATGTAATTAACATATGTAAAAACATATATATATATTGTGTTATATATATTGTATAAGGGATATCATACAGAACAACAAATGTTGCAGTAAAGAACTACAACGATTTAGAATCAAAACTGACTGACAGGAAATTGGGGGAAGTGAATGGATTTGTTTTTTAAATGGTGCTTTTTTTCCCCTTCAGATTATTTTACATCCTGCGACCCTAGTGAGGATTAAGCGGTGTATAGATAATGGATGGGTGGATTATTTTACTTTGTTTTCTCTCGATAAAACCACGTTTACATCCATCCATCCATCCATTATCTATACACCGCTTTATCCTCACTAGGTTCGCGGGGGGGCTGGAGCCTATCCCAGCCGACTTAGGGCGAAGGCAGGGGACACCCTGGACAAGTCGTTTACATACATACATATGTCAAAATCGTCACCTGGCATGAGGAGTGATTCCTCGCTAAAATAAACAATCTTCGACGGACACGCAGGTGCGCATCCCTCAGCAGGTGCGCGCTTATGACGTCACTGCCTGGTTACAACTGCAAGGAAAAGATTTGCTCACTTGGTTACCGAGTCCGTCCAGACGCACCGGAGCCTGTTTTAAGACGGTTTTAACTGCTGGTTTACAAAGTTTTAAAGCAGCAGAAGTTGTGTTTTAGGAGTTTAAAAGGAAAAAGTGGAGGCTGAGGCGGAAAATGGGTAAAAAACAGGACGAGGAGAATCTGGACTCAAAGTATGGTGAGTCAGCCGTTAGTTTCCTCAGAGGACCCACTTTCCGTTAAAGTTAAAATATCCACCGCTAGCTAACAACAAGCTTTAATTAGCTAGCTTGAAGTTTGCCATTTCTGGTAAATCATATTTATTTGTCTTGTCTTGTAAAACAAAAGTTTGTAACTTTGATTTAAACGAATATTTTCACAATTAATGTATTTTTTAGACTTAATGGCTCATTCCGTGTAACGACTTAAGTGTTAGCATGTTAAATATCACTGGTAGCTAATAGCCCGTTTAAGTCAAAACTGTCTACACACCATTATTTTTGTGGTTTGTGATTTTGTTAAATTAAAATCAGCTAGTTTACTGTGGTTTATGGGACAACAGTAGGTGCATCATAAATCTGTGCATAAGTCCCAATGTAGGCTGTGTAGTCATGTGTTGTTAGTACCTGCTAACATCAGTGAGCATGGTTATTGTTTTACAAACGATCCAGATATCAAAGTAGATCACAGTTTTATCATGGATCAGTCAAAACACCTGACAGACTTAAGATCAAACAAAATTAAAGCTGCAAGCAGCGTTGGTCGGGTCCTCGGTCCGCGTTGCAACCACATGCCCGTCTGACCATTCTTCAAGTTAAACCTGCTTGAAGTTGGAGCCATGTTTCTCTCTCTGCTCAGCCTGTCAGGGAGTGCAGCTGCACTGAGCTTTGATGATGTGATCGTTCTGCATGCCCCTGGCTGAGACAGCTGAGAGTGTTACTCACTTTCTCTCTTGATCATCTAAGTAGTTGTTGATTTATTTTCTGTAATGTCATTTCCTAATGCTGACATTTTGAAATTGTCTTGTCTGACCAGCAGTCCAGAAGTCAGAGTGTACCGTCACATAGCCAGTTGAGAATTGTCACTGTGTTTTGTTTGAGAAATACTCAAATGACTGGTTTCATGAAAATGTTTGCACTGTTGCTTGCCTAGTTTATCAACTAATGAGCTCTAATATTATTGCTGGGACCCTCTGAGAATTGTTTAATCATTGGCTGGTGTTGTGATTTCTTGAATGCTTACCCAACCAAGCTGTTCAGTTTGAAACAGTGAACAGTTAATGACAAAATGCACTGTAGGAAAACATGTTGTGTTTAGGATTTGAAAAGAGAAGTTCTCCAACTACTGCCCCTGCTGATACTGAAATATTCCTTCTTTGTTTGGTACATCCCTGTTTACTCTCTGTGACATCTGAAGAATTGATGTAGTCACAAGTCTATTGACAGTCTGGGAGGCTTAGCAAGGCTACAGTAAACAAACCCTCCCTGGGGGTAAATAACCAATCGGATTTCATTTCATGTCTCCTCAAATATCTTAGAAAAACACAGAAAGACAGGATGAGATGACAGCGAATGAGGTTTCCAAAGGGTTGGGCTAACCCTTCAGTAAACATGGTATTACTGTAACAAGTAAACCTCGGTTCACAAAAAGTCTTTTTATGTAAATGCATTAACATGTTCTCTATTTGGAAATCAGCTTTCTATAGTTCTCTACTGTTGCAGTTGCCTTCATGAGGAAGTGCAAATCCTTTTAAGTGTTGATGGCACAACCTGACCCATTACAACAGTGAGAGATTTCAGACAGCTTCTTGTTAATAGGTCGTTGTGTTTTGTTTCCTTGTTCATAGCAGTTAAACATTTGTTTCTGTTCGAAAGTATAGACACTCAGTGTTGGGAAATAAGTGACTTGCTTGGGGTTGTTGCAAATCATTGACCGGAAAATATGTTGAAGCTGCTTGAGGCAACAGGGGAACTGATTTTAAAAGGCAAGTAAATATTCAAAATTCAAGGCCTTTATTGGTCACAGTCAAAATTAGACATTGTATAATGTGCAGTGAAATGTATTATGCACCTGTTTCACATTGTAACAATAATACAGTGGAATGAATATATATATATATATATATATATATATATATATATA